TAAAAATCATATGTATTAGAATTTTGTAAATATACGTAAATACTTGAAAGTTATGTAAAAGTAGAATTTAGTCTAGAAGCATAAAATTTTAGATGCTAAAAGTAAATGCTCAAAAGCAATGAATTCAAATTTAAGTATTAAACTGTAGATAAAATCATGCTTTAGAGCGAAAGCCTGCATGTCTAAAGATGAATGAGGGGGAAGTTAGAATGAATGTGTTTTGTAGGGTTCTCCACCTACACTTGAATTTTAAGAATGTTAAAGTAGCTCATCGAGTTGTAGAATGTCGAGTAAGGTGTGTCTATTTGGTCGTTGAATTCTAACAAATCATTGTGGTTAGGGGAAGTGTTGCAATACTAAAACACGAATATTCCCGTTTGACACCACACATGGTGGAGAGCCAGGGTAAAGTTAAATTCATGTTTGAATACTTGAATGAATGTGAATTAAGCAGTAACTAAGGAAAAATAAATCGTTTAAAAACAAAAACTTTATTCAGTGTCAAGAAAGTGTAAATTATAATGTATTTAGAAAGATACTGATACTTATTCCTTCCAGATGCTGGAAGGAAAAGAACAAGATTGATTGCTGAAGTCCAGGAAAAGTTGCTGTAAGAAGAGAGAATTTAAATAAGTATACTACAGAAATTTATATACCTTTTGTGAGATAAGATTTTCTTTATGTGAACGACACTCTTAAAATTTAGTTCAGAATTGTAGAAACTTTTCAACAGGTCGTTTGTAGGACCTGCTTCCAAGTTTTCCAAATTCTGGCAGCGGCAAATGTAGGGTTTATATTTATTTTAACTAACATTTATTTTAAGTTTAAACTATCTTTCCTGTCAAGCCTTACTTTCCCCTGGAATTGCCAATGCCAGAGTATGTAAATTTTAGTAGAACGCGCAAGGATTCAAATTATCAGCGGAAGTATTCTGAGTTAAATAGAAAGGGAAACGAGTTCGAAAGTGTGCTTTTCTTGCTTCACGAGCGTGGAGGTGGCTAGTTAGAAATTGAAGAACCACGCGTTTCGGCCTGTGTGCTTGCCTCGGCAGATTGTTAATCTTTCAACGTAATATTCAGAAGTTTGCTGAATTATCAGCGGTATTTAGAACGCGGTGAGGTTAGTTACGTTTAGAGAGCCTCGTAGTTAGTCATTTGCTATTATCTCTTTTCAGTTTCTTATTTTTATTTTACCACCGGGTCGGCGTAGTTTGTGAGCGTCAAGAGCACGCATCTGTAATTTCTAAAGTTGAATAAAAAGGGATTTAAACCTTTCTCAAGACTTTGTATACTTTCCAGTTTTCAGCAGTCACCACTTTGTTGCGTGCAGGTTGGAAGTGGGCAACTTTACAAGTTGTTTAATCATTGGTTACTGGAAAGAAAATGAAAAATATGCAACCTTTTGGGAAAACGACCTGGATACGGCCCAGCGTGCTACCGTTACACCACGAAGGCAGCTTAGGAAAGCGTGAGATATACCTTATAGTGTTAGCTTTCGAGGTTCTGTATTTCCGATTTATTTTATTTTGTTATTTTTTTAACCTAATTTAAAATGCTTTCTTTAGAAAACATTTCCATTTTCTGTAACGAAGTATCATTCATCTTTGGGCTTGACCATCGACAAAAGGGTTGAAGAACTAAACCTTGAAGCTTTCCTACCGGGTGTGATTCTGATCAAAAACTAGTTAAATCATTATCACAGTGCTTATGGAGTAGTGTATAATATTGCTGTTTACACATCAAAACCAACTGAACGGAAAATATAATAAGAAATGAACGGAAAATAATATGAATGTGTTATCTAACATTGAAGTTAGAAATAAAATGATAAAAATGAAAGACAAGCAAAGCATTTTATAAACATTTTAGAAAGTAAAAATGTTTAAAAATATCCTTTAAAGCGTTTCGTACAGAATGCTCCGCAGTTATCTCAGCTTCAATATGGTATTATTGGCGTTCAACGAACTGTTTCAGCACATTTATATCACATATTATCAAAAACTGTGAATTCTTATATGTTGTGTGCTCAGCATTCATGGCAAAGTTTGTAAAAATTTAGTTTTTTCGGAAAGAAACATGTGCAATTACACAATTCCATCAGATATAGAACTTCGATTAATCCAAGTTCATATTTAATAAGATATTGTGAGCAAGCAATATGGTGCGTTTTTGTTAAAATTTCAGGTTATAAATTGATGAAGGAATTTTACCTATCAAGAATCAATTATAAAATTGATTAAAATATTTTACTTTTGAGCAGCTAATTTATTGCTGTTGAAATACTTTGTCTTTCTTCTATTCTTAAATTAAATTTCTTTTCAATATCTAAATTTGCTGTTTTAATTGTTCAAAAGAAAACGGGTTGGTTTTAACATATCCTTCTCTACGCTTCAATTAGAATAAATACTTCCCTCAGAAAGGAAGGAATGTAGGATCTCTGAATGGTGAGCCGGTCTACTGTGGCAGAAACTGAGCGTGGTCGTACTACTTAGACAATCCTTCATTGGAAGGAAACATACATTTCACCTGTTTACCAGTATCGCTTTTCCTATTAACGGTCCATTTAACAGCAGAAAATTCTGCCTGTTTGATGTAGCAGGGCAAAACTTTCACTTCTTCCCACTGTTTCGAGAGAGTTATAGACGCTAGAAAAACCACTGCCCCGAAGCGGGTTATCAGATAAATAGCTGAGTATTAGTTGCAGTTCCTTCACTTTCCTGCCTATGCACTTTAAATATATAAACGGCTACAATATTAAGTAAAGCAAGAACCTTGTGTTTGGCGTACATTTTAATACGTACGTTTATATAGATTTGATTATTTTTTAACATGTTTTATAAATTAAACTAGAAAAAGGCTTAAAACATGTTGATGAATACCCAACCTTGAATTAAAATGCTCTTTTTACTTCCTTGTACGAAGTAAAAAGGAAGTATTGTAATCGCGAAAGGTTCAGGCAGCATATTTCAACGAAAATATTCATTTTGACCGCTATCGAATGCAATTTAACGATGTTTTTGCGTGATATCTGTACGTAAGGACAGAACAAAAGACTCTTTTCCTTCAAAAAAAATTATAAAACTGCTTTAAAATTAATTCTGAAGAGAATTTTTCGTGGCGTCTGTACGAATGTATGTACGTACGTTCGAACGAACGCACGTACGTACTTGCGTACGTACGTATCTCGCATAACTCAAAAACGAGTAGCCTCAGAACGTTGAAATTTTGCATATAGGACTGCTATAACATGTAGATGTGCACCTCGTATTTGGGTTGCAATCGGCCGCACCAAACGTATATAAATATATTTATATATATATCCACTCTGTTACCCGGCTCAGTGATCTCAGTTTCTTTACTCTTATATGTTTGTAAATTGTACATTTTTTGCTTTAAAAATGATTGATTATGTTGTTTTTATCTTCCGGTTAAGGTTTTTATGCCTTTAGTAAATCTGCATGCAATAATTTTAGAATTATCAACAATTTTAAAAGTTGTTTAAGTGCCGCTAAGCCTAATTTTTTAACATGGCGGCCATTGATGTTTACATTTGAAACAGGAGAGACTAGTGGATTTGTTGCCAATCTAGAGAAACTTAGCTTCGCAACAACAAAGATAATGCATTCATTTATTATTGCCAATTAAATCATGCTTAATTCGTTCTGGAATTTTTTCGAGTAAATAAGTGTTTAAGATTTACTTCGTAATTTTTAATACAGATATTTTGAGTTTTTATGTATTTTTACCTTTTCGCGAAGTGAGAACTAAATTAATTAAATGAGAAATACTCCATCGTCTGTGAAAAACTGTTTCTTTTTTGTTTTGTTTGCTTAATTTCTTTTATACATCATTCTAGCTTTATTATAGTATTTGAATAGAACATGTGGCAACGATTAGATAATTCTATTCTTCAAATGATATAAATTTTGTGCATTATGAGTTATAATATGAACGAATTATATAAGTTAACTGTTATATAATTATTGGATTATATAACAGTTAACTTAGTTTCCGTTATATACTTATTATATAAGTTAACTGTTATATAATTATTAATACTGTTAAGTGAATCTAGCGCCAGAGTGTCGCTATGGTAAACAAATACTAGAGTGAATTTTAAAGAATGCATTTATTCTATTGTGGTTTATGCGCTCTCGGCGAAGTAGATTTAATTCAATCCAATAAGTTTAAATGAAATACAAGAAAAAATGCGTATAATTTATTATTCCAATTTAATATTCCAATACAAGGAAGTCATGTGGTGTACACATCAGATATTTCGTATTAATAAACTAAAATTAAATATTTAACAGCTAAATAAAAGACTGACCACACCCCCTGAAAGTATAAAATTAGCCCATAAGGGGAATTCCCTCACCCCAGGTCAGAACCTTTGCAGTGGAGAAATCATGCTCAAGGAATCCTAAACGAAGTTTTGGAGGAAGAAAACTGAGTAAAATTAGATGCAGATCTCACCAATAAAATGGAGTCTCACCAGTCACAGAAAACTGCAGCTACATACCTAGGAATGAAAGCAGCAAATAGGTGATGTATACATAATATTTCGGACCTCTGTCCATTCAGAATGTGTGAATGTCGGGTGAGACTATGTCAAATTACGACTGTAAAAGAGAGCTGCAAAAATTCGTACGTTAGCGAAAATTGTGAAACAGAATAAATAAATTTGAATAAGTGGAGCTCTTTATGATTTTAGAAGCCAAGTCTTAATGAGAAAAAAGTTTAAGGAAGAGAGAGAGAAAAGAATGATAGTATATTTATGATGCATCCCGTATTAATAAATCTGTATTTGAAGTAATCCAGCGTAGTGAACGAAATCGCCATCTATGGCTTTGTTGGAGAAACTGTTACTCAATCTGCGGATGTAGATTATTATGAGATCAACTTTTAGGTCACAATGAATAATTTCGTTCTAACGAATCAAGGGACTCCAGTGATTTTTACTGAAAAAGGTGCTTTGAAAACTATGCAAATTTTTAACTGTTTTTTTTTTTTTTTTTTTTTTTTTTTTTTACGGCACTGCAGGTAAGTGAGACATATAAATTAGCCAAATAACAGAAGTGTAAATGCGCTTTTTGAGCGTGTGGTCCAGTTCAGATGAGCTGTCAAGGTCTGTAAAAGTCTTATTAGGCTGGCTTCTGGTGAGAGCTAACCGAACGCGCACTGGGTACAGTAGTGCGGCGGAGCAATACCTGTAAAAGTCGTTGATGAAGTTCTGGTCCTCCGTCCACTTTTCCCTATCACTGTCAAGGAGAAGCTTGACCTTGGAAGTCATTCTAGCGGCATTGCGATAGAATTGCTGATGTGAGCAATCGATGTGCGAGTGCCGTTAAGCTCGTCTGAGCTCTTGGAGCCGTATTTATGTAGTGTAACATGAGTACATGTCCGCAGTTTGAAAGCTTCAGTTGTCATGTCCCGTGAGTAGAGTATTTGCTGATATCTCGTGTTCTACTATTTTTACAATTGAAACTTTGCGACACTTAAAGCTGAAAGACAAAAATTTCCATATAAGAATTATATGGCCACAAATACAAAGCAATAACTAAATAAATTAATGCACAATATTACAGCAATGCAATAAAAATTATTTAAATATTTACCGACTTGTATTACAATGATAAAAACAAAGTGTATTCCAAACGGCACTTGAAGTTTTTGATGTGTGTAATTTTATACTTTTTTTGCTCAACCTCCAGCTGTATTAACAAAGAGAACTTGAAATACACATATATACATAACTTGAAATACACATATATACATAACAAAGAGAACTTGAAATACACATATATACATAACTTGAAATACACATATATAACATAACATAAGAGAAAATAGAAACATATATATACATAACTTGAAATACACATATATACATAACAAGAGAACTGAAATACATATATAATACAAATACACATAATACATAACAAAGAGAACTTGAAATACACATATATACATAACTTGAAAGACACATTATAACAAACATAAGAGAACTTGAAATACACATATATACATAACATACAAACTTGAAATACACATATATACATAACAAATTGAAACACAAGAGAACTTGAAATACACCTATATACATAACTTGAAATACACATATATACATAACAAAGAGAACTTGAAATACACACATATATACATAAATTAAATACAATATATACATAACAAAGAGAACTTGAAATACATACATATAACATAACTTGAAATACACATATATACATAACAATAGAGAACTTGAAATACACATATATACATAACTTGAAAACACCATAATACATAACAAAGAGAACTTGGAAATACACATATATACATATACATGAAATACATATATACATAACAAAGAGAACTTGAAATACACATATATACATAACTTGAAATCACATATATACATAACAAAGAGAACTTGAAATACACATATATACATAACTTGAAAACATATATACATAACAAAGAGAACTTTAAAACTTAAACATATATACATACATTGAATACACATATATACATAACAAAGAGAACTTGAAATACACATATATAATAACTTGAAATACACATATATACATAACAAAGAGAACTGAAATACACAATATACATAACTTGAAATTACAATATACATAACATAACATGAAATACACATATATACATAACAAATACACATATTATACATAACAAAGAAACTTGAGAACTTGAATACACATATATAACAAATAACTTGAAATACACATATATACATAACAAAGAGAACTTGAAATACACATATATACATAACTTGAAATACACATATATACATAACAAAGAGAACTTGAAATACACATATATACATAACTTGAAATACACATATATACATAACAAAGAGAACTTGAAATACACATATATACATAACTTGAAATACACATATATACATAACAAAGAGAACTTGAAATACACATATATACATAACTTGAAATACACATATATACATAACAAAGAGAACTTGAAATATACATATGTTAAAATTAGGTAAAGCAAGAACCTTGTGTTTGGCATAGATTTTAGTCAAGACTATAGATTCCGAATACAAACAGGTACGGATACCTTTACATCAGATGCAAGAAAATCTGTAATGAAGGGAAAGCCATAGTTGTATGTATAGTCAAAAGGAGTAAAGCGAACGAGAAGATAGCGCCATCTGTGCGCAGAAATAGTAATAAAAATTGAAAAATTAAATTTTGAAAGTGTTTGAAAGGATTGGATTGGAATGAAAATTATTAAATAAACAAGCTAAGTCTTCATAATGTAAAAAGCTTCGAGAAAATCCAATTCACCAATGGAAGAAGATTTTTGGGTAATTTTTGAAGACCCAAAATCAAAATTGTGATTAAATTTCCAACTAAAATTAACTGTCGGAGACTTGTTAATTTCGCCTTTTTGGACATAGATTCATGCTCCTTGATGAGAAACGTGAGTGCTTTTTTTAGTTCTGCCGATGTATCTCAAACCACCCTGACAAAATATGCTATAAATTTCCCAAGAATTTCAAAAGGTTTACAAGAAGTCAGAAATGGAATCCTTAAGAATCGAACGATGAATTTTGTTAATAAGCAAGAAAAGGACTTGAAAACTGAACTTCTTGAGGATCCGTGCATTTTTATAATTAAACGAAGGATGAAATAGAAGCACGACAAGATTAATAGCATTGTTTCTAATACCGGAAATGTCTTTTTTGATGGCAAGATGAAAATGTTTTAAAGGCCTTATCGATGACCACGGGAGAAAATCCTCGGTCAGTGGCTCATTACAAGCAAAGGTTCTGAAGAATAGACTTTGAGAGCGCGAAATACTATATAATATTAAAAAGAAGCCATTCGTTTCGAAGCTGGATGACATGAGAAAATAAATAAACATAAAAGAATTTTCAGTAAACAGTAATGCTGAAATCGGATTAATTGCGGATTAAAAGAATATATCAAGGAAGGGATTGTCATTGTCAGATTCAGTTTCAAAAGTGAACTGGATGGTTGCACCAATAAAATGTATAGCAGATAAAATCTGGGATACATTTTCTTTAATATCATCAAAAAGCACAAATGTGTCGTCTATGTAGCGAACCCAAAGACGAAAAGATAGTTTCTCAAATACTTTGATCTCAAAATAATGCCTGTAAATGTCAACAAGTATAAGACTGAGAGCATTACCCACAGGTAATTCTAATTTGGCTATAATCTTCATTTTGTAAAACAAATTGGGGTTACTGAAAGAGAATTTAGTAAGAGAAATTAAGCCTTCAATTTTAGCATGTATAAAATGATAAACCTCACAAAGTTTCAATACATATTAGTGTTCCTTCCACTGCAGCATTAACAAACAGTGATTTAACATCAAAAGAAACCGTAATTGAGTGCAATGGAGAAATATGGAAACTAAACTTGGCCAACGGCTATGATGCCTTTTCTAAGTCGGGAACTATAGGTCGAAAACGAGTTCTAATTTTATGGATTTTGAGCAGAGCATAAATGGACTTTGTGAAGGGCTTGTTAATATATATACTACCATGCTCTTAAAATAATCCATGCTTGTTGGTTAGAACTGATACCCAATACCGGTAAATGAAAACATTATGAAGCACATGGCGCCAAAACATATGCTATGTTGGCGCCCTTCTCTGATTTATATAAGAGAGGGAAAAACTTTTCTATTTTTAACTCTGTCGAATATATGAAATTTCTGTAATTACCTGTGTCTCCATTTTCTTCTTCATTTTTAATTATGAAAGCAAGAAGCTTTCAAAAATATGCAAATTTATATAATAAAAATCGTTTCTTTTAATTTTTACCTGCATACCTTTCATCTCAAGAGAGGAGGGAAAAAAGGCATATATGATTTATTAATTACTTGTAAATAATATTAAAATTGTAACATGTATGAAAACACATAACTGTTAATATCGATTAAATAGATTAATATGTTATAACATTTTTTAATTTCTTGCTCGGTGAACTATTTTCTTGAACTATGAACTATGGAATTATGGTATCTACATACTGAACATCTTGCACAGTCTAAAACTTGGTAATTACATCGGTAGTTTCTAGAAACACATTTCGTACGTTACGTTACGTTATAGGCATATAACGTACGTTTTTTACCTTAAGTGTATTCCTTGTCATAATTATTCGTTCTTTAATGCAGAAGACAGCGCTTTATGTTGATCACGTTTGTCTACGGCTATTTTGACAACTTTAACCGAATAATAACGTTAAACGATGAGAAAAATACCATTCAAAATAATAATTGAATGTAACTAACTAAACATAACTAGACACATATAAATAGACACTTTCATAACATTTTTAATCAGAGAAAAGCAAAAAGCAAAAGTTTGATCATAAACTCATCATGATTTCTTTATCAAAAATGTTCATTTTAAAACTGTTCATAACGTTTCTGGAAATTATTTGACCGACTCTGTAATTCTCATATTAATACTTGGGGGCATTTCACCACTAAGAGAATTTGCCAATGTAAAATTTAAAGTTAGGACAAACGCACCCTTAGTTTGGTTAACTGTTTTCAAGGATTTTTTTTTTTGCTCCTAAAGAAGAGGGACCAGTGTCTGATCTCTACAAAATTTAAGATAATCTACATCAAACAGAGAGATTTTTTTTTGCCTAATTTTAAATGTTTAATGAAAACCGAAACTAAGATCTTTGACTACTTAAAATCCTTACTTGGCGATACTTTTCAATAATCTGTCAATTTTTATAACGAATTTTAAGCTTATTTGGTGACTTTACCTTTTATTTGGTCCTACTGTTTTAAAAATTTATTTTATAATAGTTTCATTATATTGACTGCCTTATTGATCCCAATGAGCGATGTATTTTCCATGTTTTTGTATAAGAAATGTTTCCATGTTTTTCTATGTTTAATTTTTCCAAGATTTATCAACGTTTTTCCAAGGCAGATATAACTGTTTCTCTAACTAGCGATTATGTCTTGCCCATCTTTATGGAATAAGAAAACGATATCATTTTAAACTTTTGAATCAAAATGGTATTTGCTCGAGTAAACTCATATTTTTGCATTTTATATATAAGAATGGAGGCATTCTAGAAAGAACAAAGTGGGCAATTATATGTCTATCAATGTACTGGTTGCCAAACCTAAATTTAAAAGGAAATGCTATACTATGTTAGGGCCGACGCTTAGCATTTTATCGCAAAGTGCGAACTCTGCAAATTCAGAATTCTGCCGCCCGGTATTTTTTAAAAAAAACTCTAAAAATTTTGCTGCCCAATGCCGCCGCTCCTATTGCACATGCGCTGGCACAAGCCCTGGCTATGTGCAAATACCATAAAATTAAAAATAAGAAAAACATGTCTAACGTTTTCTGCGAAATACGAGATGATATATTCTCCTTAAAAGGTTTCTCTGAAAAATCCTGTTTTTATGCATAGGCGGCCTAACTTACTAGAAAATTCTCAGCTCAATAAATATTAAAAAC